CACCCCCACACCCACACCCACACCCACACCCACACCCACACCCTCCAAAACGTGAACGAAAAAAAAACACTTAATGTTACATTTAACTTGAAATAAATATTTCAACAGAATAATCTACAACAACAAAAAAAATAAAGTATAATTTGTAAAGATAAAAATACCTTATATTTTGTTCGATTGGGGAATTCGAAAAAAAAAAGAAACATTTTTAATAGTAAATGTAAGTTGAAACCAATATTTCAATTTTATAATCTAAGACAGAAAAATAGAAATGGTAAATTCAAAAATAAAATTACCTTCTATATTGTTCAGTGTGACAATACTGAAGAAAAAAACATTTTTATGCTAAATTTAACTTAAAATAAACATGGCAATATAATAATCTACAACAGAAAAATTGAAATGATAAGTTTAAGGATATAAGTATTTGATATATTGTACACAGGAGCCACCTGATCAAAAATGAAGTTTTTAATGTTAATTTATTTTGAAATAAATATTTCAACTGAATAATCTAGAATAGAAACCAAAAAACAAAATTATAATTCGTGATGGTAAAACTACCTTCTGTTTTGTTCAGTTGAACGGTATGAAAGAAAAGAAACATTTTAATGCCAAATGTAACTTGAAATATTTTAATTGAATGATCTTCAACAGAAAAATGAAACCATAATTTTAAATATGAAATTGTCTTGCATATTGTTCAGTTAGACAATTCTAAAGAAAAAAAAATTTTAGTGTTAAATTTCAGTTGAGATGAGTATTTCAAATTTATACTCTACAACAGAAAAATAGAAATGATAATTTTAGGGATATAAATACCTGATATTTTGTTCACTGGAACTACATGAACCAGAAAAGACATTTTTAATGTTACATTTAACTTAACACAAATATTTCAACTGAATACTCTACAACAGAACAAAAACATAATTTTTGGAGATAAAAATACATTACGTTTTGTTCAGTTGAACAATTTGAAAGACAAAAAATGTTTTAATACCAAGTGTAACTTAAAGTAAATATTTCAATTGAACAATCTACAATAGAAAAATGAAATCATCATTTTAAACATAAAATTACCTTACAAATGGTTCAGTTAAACAATTTATGGGTGTGGATGTGAGTGTAGACTAGAAAGGTTACTCACACCTGCCAATGTGCGGTCGATCAATGGCATTACGATTAACCGTCTCATTATAATTTTGGATTAATATATTTAATACATCAGGTTTACTCAACATTCGTTGAATGCTAAATTGTATTGGTATATAATATGATACGTGATTAGGATCATCTAGCTCTCTTTTCTCTGTTGAATCATAAGAAAAATACTTTCTACATAGTTTAAAAAAATTATATTTATTTTTGGTAACTTATGTCATTTTCTCTATAAAACTAGAAATGACTTTGTTTATATCAGGTTATACAAAAATAATTCGATCGATAGAGATGTAGTTGTTCTTGGGCATGGAATAAAGAAACTTTTTTATTTGAAGTTTTTAATAATTCATAAGTTCAATTAATGATGGTAATCTGAATGTGATTGCTTGAATTATATTTTTTGGTAAAGAATAATCTTCTCTCAGATTTAATAAAAATTCTAGGAAAAACCTTATGAATGCATCTAAGTCTATTGTTTTATTCTGATAATCGAATTTTAGCCTCTTTCCATAGTGATCCACAAATGCTAGTATCTTCTTCTATTTCTATTTGCTTGTTCTGAATTTCATCTTCTGCATCATTTATTTTTATATCAAAATCTGAATGCGTATCATCACACGGTAGCGATGATATGTCGTTCTCCAATGCTTTTGAATCATGTTGCATTGTTTGTCTAACAGAATTTTCATCAAGAAGGTTCCAGTGTTCTCTATAAATATGTGTTTAATAAGCGTTACAGGTTGAATATATCATTTCACTTAGAGGACTGAGCTCACATTGTATTTTATAATTAGGCTAGCCACTATGAATATATTGTTAAAAGCTGAAATAATTTATGAAATGTGGGGAATGGTCTAGCTGGAACACATAGAGAGCAGAAATAATAATCTTGTGACGATTTATCGATATCACTTGCTAGTGAAAATATCAAGAACTTGGTAGTTTTTATTAAAAGTATATGAACGTCGCGTTACTTGCTAAAAATTATAATTACGAGGATCCATTGTACTAAAAAAAGCACGATGCGAATAAAAATAATAAATTTTAACTGCTGAATGACACGGAAAAATGTTGTAGACGCTAAATCACTTCTAGATAAAAAGCAATGAAATACAATTCAAATGAAAATCGTATTCATACAAGTTTCTATTATAATTTTCGTGATTTATTCTATTGCAACTAAAAAATTATAAATGTAACTAAATTTAAAATAATCTTCCAGACAAATTGTGAAAACTAAAACTAACAAATTGTCTAATCAAAACCAATTTAGATGTAATTATTACATGGTAGAAAGGCAACATAGAAGAAAGAGAGTAGTAGCCAAAGTAACTTTTGAACGATATCAGACTTCCTCGTTAACAATGTTGGTTTAATTAACAACATAATAATATCTGAATGCACTAAAGGACTTATGAAGATCATAAATTTTTTTATTGATTTTGGTAGACAGTAGTCCCCAATAATCGAGAATCACTCAAGGATATCGTTAGTTCCCATTCTGCATAATTATATGCATCATTTAAGTGGAGTCAGTTATGTGTAATAAGCTGCTGACGTTTCTGTAATGAGATATTCTGTGAAATATGAAAGAGTTTCACATGAAATCGTTTTACATTTCAACTATAGTAAGGTTCAATACAAAATCTGAAAAAGTTTCATACGAAACCTTTTTCCATTTCCACTTTCACAGAAGTATGATACAAAACCTCTTTTTTTTCAGTCGCTTATAACAGTATCATACCAAACCTTTTCTGCTACTGAACCTACAAGAGGTTTCGCAGATGCGTACGGTAACTCTAAAAGTTCAATAAAATACCACCAAACCATAAAGATTTGGTACGACACCACTTTTTTTCAGTGTAGGCGATCCAAACCATACTAACATGCAATAGCTAAGTCATTATCAAAGCGGCAATCGAAACAGCTATTTTTCAAGCTTTTCTGCTCTCTTCAGTGATTTTACTCCTGTATCCTGAGATACATATTTATATATAAACCATCAGTTGGAAAATCTCTTTAACATTTTGTTGGGTACTTAGTTTTATATACAAGTTTACTCGATAATATATTCATGTGTTTACTAGATGATTAAGAGTTTTTCTCAAAAAACTTTTGTCTTTAGTATTCGCAGTAGGAGAGTTATTCTTTATTTAACATTTTATAATCATGAAGCAATTGATAAGTTTAATTTAAGCGCTTATCGAAACTGGTCTTGATAGCTAAATTGATTATACACTTCTATAAACATATTCACACTCACACCCACACCCAAGAGATAAATAAATAGTGCCGTAATAGTTTCATATTTATTTCTTATTATTTCATCTACTTAATTATTTGTTCAAGATATCGAAGGTTTGATATGAATAAGATGTCGCTAAGTTATGAAAAATTTTCGGAATTTTTCGGAGTCGGAGTCGGAATCGGGAAGAAAAACATTTCGAAATTGAAGAAAAAAAAAATTAGGGGTCGGGTGGGTTTCAAGATCAAAAAAGGCAACTCCGCAGTTCACTAATCTCCGGTGAAAATAATATAATTGATTGTCTGATAAGGTGGCATAATGCCGGATGAATTTCCACCACCAATCGAACCGGTTGAGCCCTCAATTGAATAAGAATAAGTGCCATCATCGTTGAGGGTTATTTTAGTTCTTCTCATCGGAATAACGTACTGACGAAAGTGCAGATCGTTGCGATCACCATCGTTGTCGGCGCGTTGGTCGCGGTGGAGCTTATAGAAGGGGCTAGTAGATCTCCGATAAGATTGATGTTGTGATTCTTTCGTGTTACCTCCATGATTCTGGCCTGGATCGTTGATTGTATGGCTATGTGTCCCCGCATCGGTAGTGTATAATCTATCAGCACTATGGTGATGACTAGGCAATTGATCAGTAGTAAGTGTTTGTGTTGCTTTGCCTTCGGTCTTAAAATTGGCTAGCTGATATTCACTTGGATTGAGATCTAATGGAAATCGACCACGAAAATCAGGCACATTGAATGTTGTTTTACCATCCCCGGTTCCAAATGATTCACCGATGACAGAAAACAACTTATGATATTCGATTCGAGAAAGAGCTTGCCCGTGACAGAACACCCAGCGACGTGGTAGAAATGATGCATCACCCGAGTACAACTTTATTTCACCTACAAATTGTGATGAGTATCCTTCTGATGCTGTTAACGGTTTGTTTCTGAGATTGACTGCACGAACAATACCACCACTTTTCTTCTCAGCAAGTAGTCGTAGTGAACTAATGTGAACTTTTAGACGATCGGTGATATCAGTCAGTCGATAAACAGAGAATGACTTCGGTATGAACTTTTCACCAGTCCATGCCATTTCAATTGATTCTTGCTTGAGTAAATCTTGGATTTCGGCTAGTGAAAATACTGACTTTGTCGTATTTGAAAGACGATTTGAAGTTGAACTAGATGTTGCACCTTGAGCGTCAATACTGAGGCCCATATAACCGAAATCGCCACCTTCTGATTCACTCGATGATTGTGAATTTTCTTTATGAAAATCGAAGTACTGGTCCGACTGGTTGTGATTCTCTGTTGCAGTCTTATTGTAAGTGAACAATTTGTTGAATTCACTAGTAATTCGATCAGGATTTAAGTCCTGAGCAGACCAAACTTGATTGTAGAGATTGATGGCAAGTTTTGTCTGAGCCGATAAAATCAATGCTATAATTAGAGAGAAAAAAAAGATGACTACATTCAAACGTGAGCATATCACAAGAGTGTCTACCTTGTTGTAACAATGCATTGAATTGCTCTTGTAGGATGGTAAACATTGATAGACCATTTTCACTCCAATCCTCGATGTAACTCATCGACTTGATATTGGTCATTAATTTGCTGACAAATGCTGATCCTTGATTCCGATGTATATATTCAGCGTTGGTATTACCACCATCGGCAATCGTCATCTTGATCGCAGCTTTCAGTATTTCATCGGTGACCAAAATCGCATTGGTTTTCACTTGTCTAGCGCCGGCAAAATGAAATATTACTTCGATTCCATAGACATCATCAACGATCTTTTTTTGAATTTCTGTTGCATGTACTTCAGAAGAGCATTCGAAACGAAATTCCATTTCCAACTCATTTGGATTTTCAGCTTTGAAAGGATAGACATCTTTAACAGGTGAGTTTGCTTCTCGAACAATATAAGCCGTTAATGAGTCGATCATCAGTGGAGCAATAGTCCAGGAGTTTGAATGTTTAGTAATATCTGGACCGTATTTCTTCATGATTTCTCTTAGTGCCAATTCTTTAACTTCATTGTTACCTACCACCAATCTGATTCTAACTTGGCTCCTCTTTCTAAATATCCATTCGTCTTTTGGATGATCAGTGATTGCTGGTATCATAATGGGTACATAGAAGAACTTCCACTTCCTAGGATCGTCATGGTTCTTGAATTCATTTGCCACGTCGCTGAAGATGTAAATTTCACTGCCTTGATAATTGAACTGTGTCAGCACTTGTATATTACAGGCGGTGTTGATTAAACTTAGCTTCTGCTCTGATTTCAATGTTGCATTGGCTGACCTCTGTCCGAGAGCGAGAGCATCAATTTTGCAGACCAAGATCAGTATGCATATCACCTTGAATGTAATCATTGTTTTGATAGCTAAAACCTACACAAAACTACACGAAATCGATCTATATATATGTACAAAAAACAAAGAACAGGCTATAATTTTAGATTGGTAATATGTAACGAAAGCAGTGAAACAGCGGCCCGCTTACCAATAGAAGAAAAAGAATACTATAAAATATTTAAAATTTTTTCTCTTTTATTCGTTTTGACCTCTAGCAGAGCAGATATTATAAGACGTCTACCAATATAAGTAGAAATATTCAAGCAATTGAGTGAAGGTTTTTAATCAACCGATGAATGTTGTTATGGAAGAGCGATGAGAGGTGCGACATTTTCTTTATCTTAAACATTAGCTGTAAGTTTTTTCAACGCTTCTGTATTTAATAAAAAACTAAATGTTCATCATCAAATTTAAGGCCACGTTTTATGTATTTAGCGATTCTCAAATCTGTTAATGTGGTTTTTCATGATGACTATTAGAAAAAAATGTCATTAACGTTTTCTAGTGCGTTCTCAGTAAGACAACCTTTAGCTCAGATTTCTCACACAAGTTTAATGTCATTGCATCATATTTTTATTAACATTCGCAATACCTTGTTTTGAAAACAAAGCGAAGACAATGACTACGCGAGCTAGTACTTCTTTCGTGAGACAACATCATACAAAGCGATAGCACAGTACTCATTCCCTCACTTGTCTTCATTATTTCTTTGTCCTTTAATCTCAGTCAGCAATGACCTCCGTTTCTTTTGGCAGTTCGATCTTTTGGTAATGAGAAAGGCTTTTTCAGTTGACAAAAAGTGAACCAGAAGTATTTAGGTGTTATTGTATCGATACATGGACTCGATACAAGGTAGTACAATGTAGTACATCGTGATTCAAGGTGGTACATGAATCCTAGAATTCTAGGTTTCTCGGGATTATATATGTTATTGTATCGAGTCCATGTATCGATACGACAATATGTATACCCCGGAAAAACCTAGAATTCTAGAATTTATGTACCACCATGTATCACCTTGTACTATCTTGTACAACCTTGTATCGAGTCCATGTATCAATATAAGGTGCGGGAAATTCGAAACGTTCACGCATCATCAGCTTTTTTTGAAACATACATCGTTGGATAGAGTCTGAGGAGTAGATTCC